TTTGATAGTGTTCAACGGTGGCCGATGACGGTGCATGAAGCTCTGGTGGCCACGTGTGTGATAGAACAGGTGGCGGTATGTGGCGACACATGGAGGCACGTAGAAGTGTGTGTGGTGCTCCGTTGGTTGCTTGTAGTGGTTTCTGTGCAGCAGTGACTCCCTGCGAGTGTTTTTCTTTGTTGTTACGACAATATTTCTTCTCTCTATTTGTTTGTTTTTGGTGCATAGTCTAGGGATTAAAGATGACATCCACGAAGTATAAGGTAGAAAAATTTGATGGTAAAACAAGTTTCAATTTATAGAAAATTAGAATGAGATCATCACTAGTACAACATAGTTTATGGAAGGTAATTGAAAAAAGATTTCTATATGGAATGAGAGAGCCAGAAAAGGCAGATATGCAAGATGTAGCCTTATGTGCAATTTTCATGAGTGTAACTGATAATATTTTACGGGAAATTGCTGGGAAGTCTCCCCTTCAGCTGCGTGGAAGAAATTAGAAGAATTATACTCTGTAAAATCGTTGACGAACTGTCTTTATCTAAAGAAAAAGCTGTACAATCTGAAAATAAGTGAAAGTATGCCCATTCAACAATATCTTGATTATTTAATTCTATCATTATGGACTTGAATAATATAGATATCAAGATTAATAATGAAGATCAAGGCTAATCATATTATGTTCACTACCACCTTCATATGAGACTTTTGTTGCACGAAAAGGACAGTATTTCACTGCATGATGTCAGTAATGCATTAAAATCGAAGGAGTTGAAAAAGAATTTTCCAGAGTATAGAACAAAATGAGAGAGTTTGGTGAATAGGGGAATAACACAAAGAAGAAATAAGTTAAAGGGTATATCAAAATCTAGAGCTAAGAAGGTAAATTATTATGAATACGGGGAGTAAGGTCACTTTAAGAGAGATTGTACCAAGTTGAAAGAGAAAAAAGGAAAGAAGTAAGAGAACTCTGTGAATTTAGTTGACGACAACAATTCCGATGAGAGTGATAACAGTAGTGCTAGAGAAATCTTATATGTGAGTTCTAATCATGGGAAGAATTTTTCGATTCTTGATACTAGTGCTATATTCCATATGTATCCACACAAATATTAGTTTACTACATATAAACAAATGAATGGTACAGTGTACATGGGCAATCATAGTCTATTGACTGTAGACAGTATTAGTGACATCAGATTAAGAATGTTTGATGGAGCTATCAAAACCATCGAGTGTTGGCATGTTCCTCAGATTAAGAGGAACTTTATTTTTCTTTCTACTCTGGATTCTCAAAGATACAGGTTTCATGCAGAGAATGGTATTCTTAAAGTGTACAAGGGCTCAATGATAATCATGAAAGGTAGTTTGGAATGTAGATTATATACTCTTCAAGGCAATATAGTTTCAGGGGAAGCTGCTGTAGCATCAGAGAACAGTGATCAAAGTCAAGCTAAATTATGGCATATGCGTTTAAGTCATATGAGTGACAAGGGATTTTTTATGTTGGGCAGGCAGAATTTGTTGAATGGTTATGAAAAAGAAGCTATGGATTTCTGTGAACATTGTGTGTTTGAAAAACATACCAGGATGAAGTCCAACAAACAGGCATTTGCACAAGAACAAGGATAAGTTGGATTATATCTGTTTTGAGTTATGGGGTCCATATAAAACTCCCTTCAAAAATGGTGTAAGATATTTTATGACTTTGACTGATGATTATTCTCGGATGGTTTGGGTATACTTTCTAAAGTTTAAGGAATATGCATTTTCAACATTTGTCAAATAGAAGACTATGATTGAGAAGCAGACGACAGAAAGGTCAAGTGTCTTAGGACTGACAATGGGTTGAAATTCTGCAATCATGTATTTGATGACTTCGGCAATATGGAAGGAATAGTAAGACACTGCATTTGTGTTGGGACACCATAACAGAATGGCATTGCATAACACATGAATAGAACGCTTTATAATAAAGCATGAAGTATGCAGTCTCATTAAAGGCTTGGGATAGGAATTTTAGGTAGAAGCTGTGAATACAGGTTGTTTCTTAGTTAATAGATATCCATCAACAACTATTGAGTGCAAAACTCCTTTTGAGGTATGGTTTGGTTCGCCTGCTGATTACTATCAGTTGAGGGTGTTTGGTTGCCTTGTTTATGCTCATGTAAGCGATGGTAAACTTGAGCCGAGGGTAAAGAAATGCATATTTCTAAGATATGCTTCCGGAGTAAAAAGTTGCAGGTTGTGGTGCAGTGGTTCAAAGTCTCCAAGGTTTATTATCAGTAGAGTTATGACATTTAATGAGTCTACTTCATTAGATAATTAGAAAGGAGAATGCAATAGCAAAATCAGATCCCAGTATTGGAGAATAATTAGAGGTAGAGATAGAGACCCTTGCAGCTCAATCAAAGTACTAGTGATCAACAACAGTCTTATAGCATCGCAACAGACAGTGAGAGAAGACAGATTAGACCACCGTAGATGTATGAAAATCTAGTTGCATATGCTTTAGTAGTTACAGAGATAGTTGTTTTATAAGAACTTAAAAGATATAGTGAAGCTATATCCAGTTCAAATACAAATCAATGGATTGGTGCTATGGGTCAAGAGATTGAGTCACTTAACAAGAATCAGACTTGGGAACTTCTTCTATTGTCAAAGGGACATAAAGTAGTTGTAAATGGATTTTCAAGAAAAATAAAGGCATTCCGAAGGTAGAAACACCGCAATACATGGCTCGATTGGTAGCTAAAAGTTTTACTAACCGAGAATGGATCGAATTTAATGAAGTGTTCTCTCCAGTTGTGAAACACAGTTCCATCAATGTTTCACTTGTTATGGTTACTCTTCATGATTTAGAGTTGAAGCAGTTAGATGTAAAAACTGCATTTCTACATGATGAATTAGAGGAGAAAATCTATGAGTCAGCCCGAGGGATTTATCATTCCAGGTATAGAAAAACATGTTTGTTTACTTAAAAAATCTTTGTATGATTTGAAACAGTCACCTAGACAATAGTACAAGAGATTTGATACATTCATGAGATAGAATAGTTTCATTCGTAGTATCTATGATAGTTGCGTGTATAACAAGAGACTGTCATATGATTATGCTATATATTTGTTATTATATGTAGATAATATGCTTATTGCTACTAAAAGCATATCGCAGATTGATAATTTGAAAAGGCAGTTAAGTAAAGAGTTTGAGATGAAAGATTTAGGTACTACGAGGAAGATACTGAGAATGGAGATTACTCTGGATAGAAGTGATGTAGAACTTTTCTTATATCAGAAATAATATGTTGAGAGAGCAATGCAGCGCTTTAATATGAGCAATGCAAAGCCTGTAATGATTCAACTTGGTACTCACTTCAAGTTATCTACAAATATATCACCAAAGATAGATGAAGACATGGAGTATATGTCTAGTGTTCCATACTCGAGTGCTGCAGATAGTATCACGTATGTCATGGTTTGTACTCGTCCTGATATTTTACATGCAATTAGTGTAGTGAGTAGATACATGGCGTATCTTGGGAAACAACATTGGCAGACAGTGAAATAGATTCTAAGGTACTTAAAAGGTACAGTAGATATGGGTCTGATATTTGACAAAGCCAAGATGAATGACTTAGTTGTAGACTATGTGGATTCAGACTTTACAGGGGATTTGGATAAGAGAAGATCTCTGATAGGTTATCTATTCACTCTATTTGAAAGTGTTATCAACTGGAAGGCAACGTTGCAAGCTACAGTAGCCTTGTCTACCATAGAGGCTGAATATATGGCTCTAACAGAAGTAGTAAAAGAGGCTATTTAGCTACAAGGTTTGGTGAGAGTGATCTTGGGTTAACACGGAAAAAGTTGATAGTATTTTGTGATAATCAGAGTGTCATACATCTCATCAAAAATCAGGTGTACCATGAGTGAACAAAGCATATCGATGTTAGATATCACTTCGTCTGGGACATTGTATCACAAGGTATCATAGTTGTGCAGAAAGTATCTACATAGGAGAATCCCATGAATATGATGACCAAGGCAATCCCAGTTAGCAAGTTTAACCATTGCCTAGACTTGGTTAGAGTATGTAATACTCATTAGTGCCCTCGTACAGGCACTATCGCAAGACAGAATAATAAGAAGATCATTTCCTTTGATTTTGAAGAGAATTTAAGCAAAGGAGAAGATTTATTGATATGATTTAAATTCTGATAATTTTAATCATAAGGGTATTTTTGTAATTGTCCTAAGGACTAATATTATGTGTATTTTGGGTATATAAAGAAAAACCCTAGAAGCCTCCCTATATATAGGTTTGTTACTCTATGGGTGTTGTACTCTCTTTTGATTATAGTAGAATATTTTTCTTGCTAGTCTTGCCCGTTGATGTAGGCACATTGCCAAACCATGTAAAATCTTATGTTATTTCCTTTTCTATTTTTACCTTGTGTTGGTTATGCATGCTTTAGGTATTAATTTTTTCTAATACATATCATCAAGTTTAACAACCCAAATGTGGGTGAGAATGATGTCATGTTAAGATACTATCACTTCTTTGTGATGACATATTGATTTTCAGCATCGATCTATTCATGTGTAACAAGGAAAAGGACTTGGTTGGCATTTAAATGTTTGGTCTTTCTATGAGACTTTTACCCCTTTAGATACCCTCGAAGCTTAAAGTAGGTTTCCATAGTGTGCACAGGCATATGGCATTTGGAACATAAGAGTCTATTAGGATTTGTTTTAAAGCATCACTCCGAAGAATGTCCTACCATTTTACAATGGGAACAGTAATATTGTTCACAGTTTTGGTTGGGTCCTTTGACAGTTTTATTTGTTTCTTTAATATTGAAAGTCAGAGTTCTATTGGCTAAAACATCCAATGAGATTTTTTGACAATTTTTTTCTTTTTGTATAATTGAGTACACTTCATTTAAACTAGGAAAATGTTTTATTTACAATATTTGAGTTTTGATGACCTTGTATGACTCATTCAGACCCATGAGGACCTTCAAAGGATAGTCCTTTTGATCCTCCACAATAATAATTTAGAATAGATACATAACAGTTAGGCAAATTGTTTGAGTCATCTTCCTTTGAGGAGGAACTGGCATTCTGGTTCAGGAGTGCGACCAGCTGATCACGTTGGGTTTTTGTTATCCAAAACAATTCCTGTGTTGTATCCTTTAAGACTTGATTTGCATGAATCTCTCCGAATTTGCTTCCCTTATACAGTTTATGCCCTTTGGGATATCCATGGAGTTTGTAGCAGACCTCCATCGTATGCTCTGGCATTCCGTAATGCGACCAATTAGGTTTGTTTGGGTTCGCTTTGAAGCATCTCTCTAGTGAGTGCCCTGGAACCTTGCAGTGGCTACAATAGTACTTCTTCGAGTTTGGAGTTTGTGTGTTGCTTTGCTTTCCTCCATCTTTGGTCATCATCACCATCATCTCCCCTTTTGGTTGGTCAACTAATATATCCCTCCTTTTTTCTTCCTGCTGAATGATGGAATGTACCTCATTCAATGTGGGAAAAGACTTAATCAAGAGCACCTGAGCCTTCAATCCTTTGAATGATTCATTTAACCCCATCAGAAATTTCATCACGCAATCTCGTTGTTGGTAATCAACCATGGCTTTCAAGCCTCCACAAGTACAATTTGGTATTGACTCGTAGTTCAGCAGTTCATCAAAAAGTGCCTTGAGTTTGGAATAGTAAATACCTACTGAGTCGCTTCCTTGTACGAGGTTTACGATGTTCTGCTTCACTTCGTAAACCCTTGGTGCATTCTGCTGCACATGCCTATGCTCAAGCTCACTCCAAAGTTCGTGTGCCGTTTCTTCATAGAGAGTGCTTGTCTTAATGTCTGCTAACAGTGTGTTTTGCAACCAGGTGATCACTATATCGTTACATCTGAGCCAATATTCCATTAAGGGGTTATTGGCATCAGCTGGAGGATGAACTCTCCCGTCGATGAATACTAGCCCATCCATGATAATTTATTGTATTGAGAAGCTGCGGGACAAGAACAGCTATTGAGTTTTTATTGGGGGTAATGTAATATGGACTGATGGGATTGGTAGGATCAAAAATGGTTTTGCTCATGGAAAAGGGGTTGACGTTGAGGGTCTGGTTTTGTTCGTCTTGAGCCATGGCTCTGATACCATGTAAAGATTTGAACGAACTCTAAGAGAAAATGAAATTTGCAGATTTTGGTGAAAAACATAGTGTATGTCTCTACCTTCCTTTTCTTATATTAATAATTGAAGAATAATACAGTGTGGGGTAGAAGGAACTTTCTTTTACCCTTTTTACAAAATAAAAAATAATCAAAAATGGAAAATCAAATATAACCGTATGATGGGTATGTCACCCACTGCATGATTGGTTACAAAGAATATGTGGGAAATCATTAACAGATCTGCAGGTCACTAATGATTAGGAGACACGGTGACAGAGACTTAACAGTTTCCTCACTGCTGCTCCTAAGGTGGAGGGAGATGACCTTTAGTCTCTTGACGTGGCAACTCTGCCACCTTTACCTTTCCTTTCCTGTCTGAGTATACACCATGTGTGCATTTTGCTAATGTGGATTGTTGACCACGTACATCATCTTCGTTCTGGACACTCTCGACCACTCCAAGTTTGCTCCTTGAATGGCATAATTGAGCACCAACTTGAGATTCTGTTAAACAATCTGCAATTTGGTCTTAATAAGGGATATACCTGACTTCAAGTTTTCTATCAAGGACTTTATTCTGTATAAAATAAATGTCTACTCTATATGTTTGGTTCTTACACGATAAATTGGATTACTTGCTAGTTGATTTGCACTCATGTTATGACACCAAGTAATAGGAGTTGTTGAAAGAGAAATAGATACCTCTGCAAGTAGTGATTCTAACCATGGAATTTCACAAGAAACATGAACAAAGGACCTCTACTCGAATTCAACACTAGATTTTACCACCACATATTACTTTTTAGAGCTCAAGGAAATAAAACTTGAGTCAAAATACACACAATACCCAACTATCGATCTCTTGTCATCCTTGTTACATGTCGAGTCTGCATCTAAGGACCTTATAAGAGTATAGTTGTTACATGGCTATATATGAAGACCAAATTCTTTGGTGCCTTAGTTTGTTGATGATAAAGGCAATATC